CATTAGGTAGACACACTTGTTTCAAATTAGTCACTCCCTTTCAATTAGGCCCGGAGAGCTGGTTTATAAACCACATGATGAGTTTTGATTTGACATTTCAAGTTTGTTCTAAAACATTAAAAATAAAAAAAATAAAAAATTAATCAATATCTAATATTAAACATATCTTTTTAGCTAAAATGAAATTAGCACATGTAATCGCATATTGTCTCCTTTGTTTTTAGACCAATATTTTTAATTGAATAAAGTGATAAAGAAATATTCACAATTTCTAAGTGAGATTCGTCTAAATGAGAATGTTATTTACAGAGCATAGAATCCATAGATGTGTTGCAACTTGCAAGAGAGCTTATAGCTCAACATTTTACGTCTGCACCCAAAGTCCCTTCTACCAAACCTATCACTTGTATTAAAATATATATATATATACACACACACACAATAATTTTAGAAAACCGTACATTTATTTGATAAATTAGAAAGAATAAACTCATCGTATTCTATTATAAAAATAAACATTAAACTTGAAATTTATCAAGGATTTACTACGTCAATTTGATTAATCAATATAATCAATGTAATAGGAGTTTGGATTACATGTTTACCAATACTGAATAAAGGGCGACTTTAAGTCAACAGGGCTCCCCACTTTGCAAAGGTGAGAGGTGGAACATCTATCGTACGCAGTCATACTTTTGCTTTGCAAAAAAACTGCTTCCACGACTTGAACAAAAGGGCAACTTTTTATTATGCTAAGGCTCGTCCTCATGTTTACCAATACTGAATGAAGAGTAAATATGTAGTAGAGTAATGAGTGGTGGTCTCAGCTGTTGCTGTTGATGTGTTTAGAGTATATGAAGTGGTTGTTGATCCTATAGCAGTTGGGGGTCGTGAAATATAGAGATTGGTAACTTGGCAGTGAGCACCTGTCAACCAAACACACCTAATAGAATATGAAATTGAAGGGAATAAATTAATAATTGACAGATGACCTCAATGGAAATGACTTCAGATAATCATCAGGTTTGAGATTAAGCCATGTCATGATGAAATTAAAATACAGTAATTATAATGTCTTAGACTGTCGTATTTGGTTTGCAAAACCCACCTCATGCATCTATCTGTACCACGATGTGCGTGTGTGTATATATATTTATATTTAGTTTGACCTTTGAATGGCATGATGTGCTAATTACTGAAATTACATAATATAATGGTTGATGGTTATGTTTCAGTTTTAATGATTTAAAGAGTGAATTCAACCGCTAATTGCTACATTATGTTATTTGCAAAATATAGTCTAAAATGATGGTCTTTTTAACATCATTGATTATTAATATATCTCTTATGGTGATGTTGTAACATCTCACATCGACCAACAGAGAGGGGATAATCTGCCTTATATGTACATGCACATCTCCACATAGCACGTCTTTTGGGAACTCAATGGCTTCGAGTTCCATCGGAACTCCGAAGTTAAGGGAGTTCGGGCGAGAGCATTCTTATGATGGGTGACCTACTGGGAAGTTCTCATGTGAGTTCCCAAAAATAAAACAGTGAGGGCGCGACCAGGGCCCAAAGCGGACAATATTGTGCTACAGCGGAGTCGAGTCTGGGATGTGAATGGTATCAGAGTCACTCTGCCATGTGGTGCGAGTGTGCCGACGAGGATGTCGGGCTTCTAAGGAGGGTAGATTGTAACATCCCACATCGACCAATGGAGAGGGGGTGCTGTGCCTTATATGTACATGCCCACCTCCATATAACACGAGACCTTTGGGGAACTCACTGGCTTCGGGTTCCATCAAAACTCTGAAGTTAAGCGAGTTCGGGCGAGATCATTCTCAGGATGGGGGTGACCCACTAAGAAGTTCTTGTGTGAGTTCCTACAAACAAAACTGTGAGGGCGTGGCCGGAGCCTAAAGCGGACAATATGTGCTACAGCGGAGTCGAGTCTGGGATGTGACAGATGCTAAAAAGATCATCTACTTTTTTTTCTTGAGTACATCAATATTTTTACACTAAGAGGAGGGGGAGTTCGGTTAAGCCACACAATGGGCAGCCTAATTTGGTATCAAATTCGTTATCCATGAGATTCAAATCTAAGATCTCTCACTACTAAAGAGATCATCTACTTAAACCACATTTTCTATAACACATGATGTGGCAGTTAAGGGTTAATTTTTTTGGGTAAATTACACTTTACCACCTTAGGTTTGAGGTCTATTGCAACCTCATACAACATCTTCAAAAAATTTCACTTTCATACCTCACCTACTATTTTATTTTAATATAGTACATCTATTACTTTTTCCATCCATTGATCCGTTAAGAGCTGACGTGGCTGACACATTTGTGCCACGCGGCTCCTAAATTTGTGCCACATGGCTAAAAAATAATTTTTTATGCATTTAAAAATAATTAATTAAAGAAAAGTTATTAAAAAAAAAAACCCAGAACACAACCCCCCCCCTCCCCGACCCAACTCCCTCTCCTCCACTATCTTCACCTCCTCCCTCCCTAGAACAATGCCATACACCACCCCAAAATCCCAACTGCCCTTGATTCTGCCAGCAACGGCAACCACATCAGCAAAGCAGGGCAGACAGAGAATGGCCAAGTCGGCTCTGCAGGGAGATGAAGGTCGGGAGGGAGAAAGGGGGTGGGGGTGAGGGGAAGGGCTCGGGGAAGAAGATGAGTTTTTTTTTTAATTTTTATTTAAATAGGGTAAATTATTATAATATTTAAATGCATAAAAGAAATTATTTTTTGCCACGTGGCACAAATTTGACTACTACGTCAGCACAAATGTGGATCACATATTTGCCACGTCATTACTTAACGGATTTTCTAACGAATGTATGCAATTGAAATAAAATGATAGTAAATGTATGAAATTGAAATGTTTTAAAGATGTTGTAAAGAATTGAAATCGACCCCAAATCTGAGGGGGTAAAATGTAATTTACTTTAAATTTTTTCTTTAAATCACTAAATAAGGAAATTTATTACCAACCCGCCACATTACGTGGTAAAATATGGTCTCTAACATTTTTCATCTCTTGATATTGTCAACTTTGCTCAATACAACATTTTTTGGGTAGTTAAAATAATATTAAGATTGATGTTGCCCTGAATGAGTAGTGTCTGTATTATAAGATTTTTAATTCCTTTTGTGATCTTGATTTTTAGGATAAAATAATCAGATAATCTCATCAGGATTTGAAGGATAAAATAATTAATCAGATAATCTCATGATAGAAACTAGGGTTTTGGAGGTACTTCTAGCTATATTTGAGTGAGTTTAACCTCACAATAAGCTAGCAATAATGTGATTCAAATTCATCTTCGGTGAGAATCGAACCTAAGACATTTAACTTACAAGTGAATAAGAATATCATTAGACCGTAATACTAAGTAACACTTCTAACTGTATTATCTTTGAATATTAACTAATATCTAGTAATGAAAATCTACTTGTAGAGTAAGTTAAATTTGAATATTGAGGCAAAATGAATACCATATGCTTCTATGTTACGTGCTCATGTTACGTTTATAATAGATGAAACAACATGCAAGAAGTTGATGTTCTTTGACAATATAAGAAATAGCTTACTCTTTATAAGGACATGCAATATCTCTTAATTTTCTAAAGCGATTCACATCCTTAAAGCATCTCCAACAATTCCTAACTACCCTTTCAATTGAGTTGAACTGCCTTGTTGCCCAAAGAAAATCGCTCCACCGGTGGAAAAAAAGGAGGGCAATTGGGTGAAAGGCAGGAGCTCTTGCGGCTGCCCTGCCAACTGAAGTCGGAGCTTGCGCCCGCATGGAGATGACGACGTCTACAGCAGACAAACACCCCCCCCCCCCCCCACCCCCTCCACCGTTAGAAATCCAACGGTTAAAATATTGAAAATGTTGTTGCTACGCTAGTGGTGCTTTGTAGAGCCTCTGGTTTCAAAAAATTGAAAATTACAACGACCAGGATCAACCAAACTCTAAAAAATCCAAAAAAAATCATTAAAATTACCAAAAATATTACCAAAAAAAAAAAAAAAAAAAAAAAACTTACAAAGTTCCCACTTAAAAAATCTTACAAAGTTCAACACACTTGCAAATTAACATTTAAAATTAAACAAAAACCTATGGCAATACTGATATATGGAGGATAAGACAAAGAAAATATTACAAAATAAAAAATAGTAATCGTCATTGTCATAAAAAATAGTAATCGTCATTGTCCTTACCCTTCTTCCTTCCAAACAGGTGGACTTGCACAAGGCAATTATTGTTTAGAGTGAATAGTAAGGGTAATTACATTGCCCTTGCCTTCTATTAACGGGTGGAGATGCTCTTAGAGTTATAATATCAAACACAAAAAAAGTACCCCAAATCGAAGACATGTATATATAAACACCGATCAGTCTGATCATGTAGATAATAGAAGTGTTTACAGATTATCACACAGCTAGTCTATCATGTTTATTGATCACTTTTCTTGTAGGGATGAAATTCAATTGCATATATAAGGGAGCTACATTTCGAGACTTATGAGTATACAATAAGCATAAACATACGATAGACGTTACCTCGTATAATTTGAAAACGTGAATAAAATCATACCAACTACTAGGCCATGCTTATTTATACGTCCAAATCACATAGACTGCGTCACTAGTACATAACAGCATATTTACCACATCAATTCCATCACGGGCATCAACAGCTCGTGGTAGAAACTATTCAATTACCACGGTTAAATGTAGCTCGTGGTAGATAACATTAATTCACCACGGTCAAATTCTGGCCCGTTGTTAAAAGTAAATAATCTACAACGGTTTTTAATCCCGTGATGAAATATCAAAACCACCACGCGATATACTCGTTGTGGTTACTTCAAACAACCACACAGCCTTTTGAAAATTCACCACGGCATCGGCCCGTGGTGGATGTTTTTTTTTTTTTTTTTTTTTTTTAATATTTTGGAGGATATTAAAATCTAAAATCCCAATTATTTCCCGTCGCGTGAAACTGGACGAAAATCCTAAAAAGAAAACGTCAATCCTTTTGTTTCTCCATCTCTTCCATCTCCGCCGGCTGGTCTCGGATCAATATTCTGATTTTTCTGAAACGATGACATTTATCAGCTGAGGTTATGAAGGCTTTAAATATTCCTAGAGGAGTACGTCGTGTGCTTTTCCGAACATCAAATACTGACAGGTAATATATTCGTTGTATTTTTGTTTTTTTACTCTCGTGCTTGAATCCACATCGGGGGAATTATAATGTTTATATTCTATATCTTTTCCAATGTGCTGCTGACTCCAATTTACAGTGCACAGTTTGTATTCTGTATTTTTATTTTCTTTGGTCGTCTCTCCGGTCGTCTCTCCCTCAATCCGTGGCAACCTCTCTACATCACTCAGGTTTCTTTTATCCTATATCTTTTGATTTCGTTTTCTTGTTATGAATAAGCATTTAAATTATCATTGATCATCGAACTTGGAGATGTGTATGCATTCTTGTGGCTTACAGCTTGCAAATTTATCTTCCAGCGTTTCGTTCTCTCACACATCCATCCAAAGGCACACACTTTTCACATCATCATCGTAAATATATAATTTTGAGTTGAGAAGTATGTTTTTACTGTTTTGTTCTTCCAATTCAATAAAAAAATTGTATTTTACGCCCCAAAATCAACCCCATGTTACGAGGATTGTGTCATGGAGCAGCACTTGCTTGAAATTAGGTTCCCTAACTGCATGTTTTTACTGTTTTGTTCTTTCAATTCAATAAAAAGTTTGGATGTTGCAGCTACTGCCGTATATACATATATATAACAACAACATTCAAACTAGTAAAGAGAAGAATGAACTTCTATATATATTATCAATGTAGTAATGAATAAATAGAGAATAAATGTATATAATTAATCTGTTCAGACCAAAAACAATGTACAATCTTTAAAGGCCAAACTGTATCATCAAAGTTGATCAACCTCTTCTTCCTTAAGTTTTGGTGTAATATTGGAAATTAGGTGTGTATAGTGCAGTAGTAATCAAAGTAAGAAGGGGTGCCCTTAATATACATATATACACGCGCGCATATATATATATATATATGTATGTATGTATGTATACAGCACGAACCAGTTATATATAAGGAAAAAAGATATGCAATAGTAATACTTCGATCAATTGAAACTGCAAATTCAACTATACTAGTGTAAATGTTGTAAAGAAAATGCTTGTTCACTTTTTTTATATAATATTTTCCTGCTAATTCACAGCAAATGATCTTTTTGCTAATTCACAGAAAATGCTTGTTGACTTATTTTTTTATATAAGATTGATTGCTAAGAAGATGGTTTATATGTGTCTTGTTTGTATGAATCGTATGTACTAGCAAATGGTTTCGTGTATGTATTAATTTGATATTTGTAATTTAAGTGTTGATACAAGTTATACTTGAATAAATATATATAATATATGTGTGTATGTGTCTATATATATATATATATATATCATATTTTAGTATATTTTGCCATTAAGTTGTGAGTTGTGGTTATTTTAGGATTACTTTTGAGAAGCATTGTTGGAAACGATCATTGTCAACTATCTGATTGCAATGGACAAAGATTGGCTAACATTTTCGAGGTATATTATCTGCCTCAATGAATTTCATTTTTGACATTGATAACTAGGGTCTGTTTAAAGTGATTAAGATTTATTTATAATACAGACCATCAACAGAATACAGAGAGGGTGCACAAAAGTTTGTACAAGTAGCTAAAGAATATGGAGGAAATCGAGATAAGATCATTTGCCCGTGTATAATATGTCAAAACCAATGTTTTCAACTACCTGCGATTGTGTATGAACACTTGGTTATAAATGGAATAGATCCTTCATATACTACTTGGGTGTTCCATGGTGAACAAGAACCTATTCTTCAACAACATGACTATGACAACGTGACAGAAACATATCAGATGTATAGGGATGTCTTGGCTGAAGATGATGGAACTGGAAAAGCAAACTTGCTAATTGGAGATGAGAATTTCAAACAAAAGGTTGAAGAAGCTGAAGCTCCTTTATATGAAGGTTGTACGAAATACACAAAGTTGTCAGCAACTGTAGTTTTATACAAGATTAAAGCTTCAAATGGTGCAACAGATAAGCTTTTTGACGAGCTCCTCCAAGCCTTAAAGGACATGTTTCCGGAAGGTAATACATTTCCGAATTCAATGAATTCGACAAAGAAGTTACTTAAGGTGTTTGATTTAGGGTTCGAGAAAATAGATGCATGTGTAAATGATTGCTGCTTATTTTGGAAAGACTTTGAACAACTTGAGACATGTCCAAAGTGTGGTTGTTCACGTTGGCAGGTTGGTAAACGTAATAATCACATTTACAAAGGAGTTTCTGCAAAGGTGTTGCGCTACTTTCCTATTATACCAAGATTTAAGCGAATGTTTAAGGATGATGACATGGCCAAAGACTTAACATGGCATCATACCAACAAAAGTCAGGATGGTAAGATGCGACATCCAGTTGATTCGCCAGCATGGGAGTCTATTGACACTAGATATCCTGATTTTGCCTCAGATCCACGAAACTTGAGACTTGGTTTAGCTACCGATGGATTTAACCCATTCCGCCAGCTAAGCTCTAGATATAGTTGTTGTCTAGTTATATTAGTTACATACAATCTTCCTCCATGGTTAGCCATGTCGAAAGAGAATTTGATGTTGACGTTAATAATTCCTGGGAAGAAACAACCCGGAAATGATATTGATGTTTACTTGCAACCACTCATAGAAGATTTATGTGTGTTATGGAATGAAGGAGTGGGTGTATTTGATGCAACTACAAATTCTACTTTCAATTTGAGGGCTATTTTGATGTGGACAATCAGTGATTATCCCGCTTATGGTAACTTGGCTGGATGTTTTACAAAGGGCAGGTTTGCTTGTGTGGCATGTGGTGCTAACACGCGATCTTTGAGGTTGCCGTTTAGTAAGAAGCATGTATATACCGGCAATAGAAGATTTCTTCCACCTTCTCATGAGTTTCGCAAGAAGGGTAAATGGTTTGATGGGAATGATGATATTGGGCAAAAACCAAGGGTATTGACAGGTGAAGAAGTTTTATATGCTTCCGAAGGCACAAAAAGGCACAAAAAGGAAGATGAGTGTAAAGAAAGGTGTACAGACAACAGGAAGTGATCCTATTAACATATGGAAAAAGAAATCAATTTTCTTTGATTTGCCGTATTGGAAGGTTTGACAATTACACTTAACATTTAACTATAAAAAAAGTATGATTTTTTTCACAACTAATTTGCTTATTTTTGCTTGTTTTGCAGAAATTATGTTTGAGGCATAATTTGGACATCATGCACATAGAGAAAAATGTTTGTGAAAGTATTGTTGGCACATTGCTACATATTAAAGGTAAATCAAAGGATGGACTTAATTGTCGTAAAGATTTAAAGGAATTGGGTATTCGGCATGATTTATGCATAACTGAAGAGAAAGGAAAAAAGACGAAACTACCTCCAGCACTTTACAACTTCTCTAAAGTAGAGAAACATATTTTCTGTAAGAGGTTGTTCGATATGAAGGTACCGGATGGTTATAGCTCAAATATTAGTAATTGTGTGGATCTAAGTGAATGCAATCTAATTGGACTCAAGTCCCATGATTGTCATGTCCTAATGCAACAATTGTTGCCAGTAGCAATAAGAGGTCTTTTGCCTAAAGGTCCAAGACATGCAATCTTTCGGTTGTGTGTATTTTTCCACGAACTCTGTCAAGGACTTATTGACAAAAGTAAGCTGGAAGTATTGGAGAATGAGGTTGCAGAAACAATATGCATGCTTGAAAAGTATTTTCCACCTTCTTTCTTTGATATTATGATTCACCTTACAATCCATTTAGCGAGGGAAGATAGGCTATGTGGACCTGTTCATTATCGTTGGATGTATCCTTTTGAAAGGTACTTTCGTATTTATATTTCTAGTATTAGCCTATTTTTTTGTTTTTCTATTTTAGATGACTTACTAGTTTATGACATGATTAAATTTCTTTCAGATTTATGAAGGTGTTAAAGGATTATGTTAGAAATCGAGCACGACCAGAGGGGTCTATGGTAGAGTGTGTCTTAGCTGACGAGTGTGTGAAATTTTGTAGTAAGTACATAAAACAAGCTGAAAATATCAGTTTACGACATAACCGATATGAGGATGAATCAATTGTTATTGGGAATCCTATTTCAGCTGGTGTGACAATGACCATGTCTTCAGAAATGTACCAAATTGCTCATCGTTACATATTGTTTAATAGCTCAGAAGCTGAGCCATATCGAAAGTGAGTTATGCACCCTTTTAGAAGCTTATGTGCATTGTATTTTATTAAAACTTCATAACATATTATTTTGTTCCAGAATGCATGTTGAGGAGCTTAAGTATTCAGATCCGAGCCTTGTAGGCAAATTGAACAAGCTACATAGGATGCATGCAACACAATTTTCATCTTGGCTCCGCAATAAGGTTGGATTTATATTCTTCTACTTTTTTTTTTTTTTACTTTTAGGTAGGTAATTTGTAGTTCCAACAATATTATGTTTTTAGCATTCCATTAATTACTGAACAGGTTATTGCACTGGGAGACACAAGTGTATCGGACATGTTAAAGGGGCTTGCATTTGGACCGATAACACAAGTAATGTCATATTCAAGATATGTTGTAAATGGAAGGCGTTTTTGTACAAGAGCAAGTGAAAAGACTACACAAGACAGTGGTGTTTATCTTGAAGCTGAAACATCGGTCAATGGCACCGAAGAGATTAAAAAGGTTTTATACTATGGGGTGATTCAAGAGATTCTAGTGATGGACTATTACACGTTTCGGGTCCCCATATTTAAATGTGATTGGGTGAATACTAGTAATGGCATTAAGGTTGATGATGGATTTACTTTGGTCAACCTGCATCGTCTAAATCAATTTCAAAATGATCCATTTATTCTCGCTTCACAGGCCAAACAAGTATTTTATTCAAGAGAGAGTGAAACGTCTGATTGGTATGTTGTTCTAAAAGCACCTCCAAAAGGGTTCCATGACTTGGGAAAGTTTGACGAGGATGCTTACATGTCATATGCCCCATTAGATGTTTATAAACTTGATGATTGTGTAGGTGATGAAGATGAAGGTTATGTTCGGGTAGATTGTGAGGCCATTCCTGTGTAAAACTAGACTATTATTGAATGAAAACATTTTTCACAAATTTCTCTACCTTTTTCTGGATCTTTTCTTAGGAAAACTGATATTTATGTGTATGGTTGTTTTTTTTTTTCTTCAAATTTCTCTACTCTTTACACTTGTCTTCTTGACGACAAGCAAATGTACAGGCAAGCAGCCAATATTGCATCCCGATTTCTTCCTCTAGTGTAAATATTTTAAATTGAAGATCGAATTCATTCATTGTATTCATATATGGTCAATGAGTGTAGCTGTAAAAAATCATCAAAATCGGAGTTAAAATAACCGTTAAATCGTGATTTTTCGTTGATAACCGTCGAAAAGTTTTGTCCCGTTACTCGATCTCTGAATGTTTGTTTTTTGCAATTTTTGGCGTATGCGATCTCGAAGTATATACAAACAAGTTTGACGGTTGGATCGTTGAAATTAGTTTCGTAGAATGCGTATCCCATCAAAACGATAGATTCGCTAACACTTAAAAGTTTATTCATACTTTCATTAAGTATAACATAAGATTTTGTGGTATCCATTAATGTAAATATTTTAAATTGAAGATCGAGTTCATTCATTGTATTCATATAGGGTCAATGAGTGTAGCTGTAAAAAATCATCAAAATCGGAGTTAAAATAACCATTAAATCGTAATTTTTCGTTGATAACCGTCGAAAAGTTTTGTCCCGTTACTCGATCTCTGAATGTTTGTTTTTTGCAATTTTTGGCGTATGCGATCTCGAAGTATATACAAACAAGTTTAGACGGTTGGATCGTTGAAATTAGTTTCGTAGAATGCGTATCCCATCAAAACGATAGATTTACTAACACTTGAGAGTTTATTCGTACTTTCATTATATATATAACATAAGATTTTGTGATATCCATTAATGTAAATATTTTAAATTGAAGATCGAGTTCATTCATTGTATTCATATAGGGTCAATGAGTGTAGCTGTAAAAAATCATCAAAATCGGGGTTAAAATAACCGTTAAATCGTAATTTTTCGTTGATAACCGTCGAAAAGTTTTGTCCCGTTACTCGATCTCTGAATGTTTTTTTTTTGCAATTTTTGGCGTATGCGATCTCGAAGTATATACAAACAAGTTTGACGGTTGGATCGTTGAAATTAGTTTCGTAGAATGCGTATCCCATCAAAACGATAGATTTACTAACACTTGAGAGTTTATTCGTACTTTCATTATATATATAACATAAGATTTTGTGATATCCATTAATGTAAATATTTTAAATTGAAGATCGAGTTCATTCATTGTATTCATATAGGGTCAATGAGTGTAGCTGTAAAAAATCATCAAAATCGGAGTTAAAATAACCGTTAAATCGTAATTTGTCGTTGATAACTGTCGAAAAGTTTTGTCCCGTTACTCGATCTCTGAATGTTTGTTTTTTGCAATTTTTGGCGTATGCGATCTCGAAGTATATACAAACAAGTTTAGACGGTTGGATCGTTGAAATTAGTTTCGTAGAATGCGTATCCCATCAAAACGATAGATTTACTAACACTTGAGAGTTTATTCGTACTTTCATTATATATATAACATAAGATTTTGTGATATCCATTAATGTAAATATTTTAAATTGAAGATCGAGTTCATTCATTGTATTCATATAGGGTCAATGAGTGTAGCTGTAAAAAATCATCAAAATCGGAGTTAAAATAACCGTTAAATCGTAATTTTTCGTTGATAACCGTCGAAAAGTTTTGTCCCGTTACTCGATCTCTGAATGTTTGTTTTTTGCAATTTTTGGCGTATGCGATCTCGAAGTATATACAAACAAGTTTAGACGGTTGGATCGTTGAAATTAGTTTCGTAGAATGCGTATCCCATCAAAACGATAGATTTACTAACACTTGAGAGTTTATTCGTACTTTCATTATATATATAACATAAGATTTTGTGATATCCATTAATGTAAATATTTTAAATTGAAGATCGAGTTCATTCATTGTATTCATATAGGGTCAATGAGTGTAGCTGTAAAAAATCATCAAAATCGGAGTTAAAATAACCGTTAAATCGTGATTTTTCGTTGATAACCGTCGAAAAGTTTTGTCCCGTTACTCGATCTCTGAATGTTTTTTCTTTGCAATTTTTGGCGTATGCGATCTCGAAGTATATACAAACAAGTTTGACGGTTGGATCGTTGAAATTAGTTTCGTAGAATGCGTATCCCATCAAAACGATAGATTTACTAACACTTGAGAGTTTATTCGTACTTTCATTATATATATAACATAAGATTTTGTGATATCCATTAATGTAAATATTTTAAATTGAAGATCGAGTTCATTCATTGTATTCATATAGGGTCAATGAGTGTAGCTGTAAAAAATCATCAAAATCGGAGTTAAAATAACCGTTAAATCGTGATTTTTCGTTGATAACCGTCGAAAAGTTTTGTCCCGTTACTCGATCTCTGAATGTTTTTTCTTTGCAATTTTTGGCGTATGCGATCTCGAAGTATATACAAACAAGTTTGACGGTTGGATCGTTGAAATTAGTTTCGTAGAATGCGTATCCCATCAAAACGATAGATTTACTAACACTTGAGAGTTTATTCGTACTTTCATTATATATATAACATAAGATTTTGTGATATCCATTAATGTAAATATTTTAAATTGAAGATCGAGTTCATTCATTGTATTCATATAGGGTCAAAGAGTGTAGCTGTAAAAAATCATCAAAATTGGAGTTAAAATAACCGTTAAATCATGATTTTTTGTTGATAACCGTCGAAAAAAATTGTCCCGTTATTTGATATTTGAATGTTTGTTTTGCTATTTGACCAAAACAAATAAAAAATGATAATTACAATTCGATGGAATCTGCTAACCTCGGTCCTCCCTCTGCTCCCTCTTGATCTCTGTCTCCCAGTGTCGAGAAATTATAGAGTATTATACAGTAGTATTACGTCAGCCGTGATGCTTTCATTCAAATCTCACAATCTGTCCTTATGTTTTACAGAGCTGGAATTTTATTATCATTTTCACCTTTTAAAAATTAAAAAAAAAAAGAAAAGAACAAAAGAACAGAGAAGATGGACGGTCTCCTTCCCCGTCCGACCCAATCCCTCCCTCCTACGTCTTCCCAGCCATTCCTTTCTCCCCCAAAACCCAGCCCACCTTCTTCCCCAAACCCCAAGCCATTCCTTCTTCCCAAAACCCAACCTTCCTTCTTCCCCGAACCCAGCTTTCCTTCATCCTCAAACCCTATCTTCAACGATTTCTTTATCTAAAAAGGATGATCCTCAAATGCAGTCTTCCTTCTTCCCCAAAACGCAGCCTTCCTTCTTCCCTTGGCTGGAGGTCCTTTTTTTATGGTTATCAATTTTTTTACCCCAGATTGCGAAATCCACAAAACCTTCAATACGGTTCTCATCGATTGAAAGTAACCATTACTCTCATCCCTCTCGATTCATGATACCTGAGCTCCCTCCCTCAGCTTCTCTAAAGTCGACTCCGAGTCTCCGACCACCACCATCTGCTCCTCTCAACTTCGACCACCACCTTATGGTCATGAGTCTCCTGACTCCTGAGTTCTGACCAATCCATTTCGAAGCCACAAGGTAATTCAAATATCTATAAGTATCATACCCTAAACATTTTTTATTGTATGTTAAGTACCAATTATTGTATAATTTGCACCTCGGTTAGGAACCATGGATAGATTACCGCAATGTTCTTTAAGTTTTCAAAGGGTCTATTCACTAATTTCTCTTTTGGGTTATTTTTGGATTTGGACCCTGCATTGGATGTCTTGGAGATGTTAATGTGGATTGGATTTGGATGTTATTTTGGATTTGGAATTTGGATGTTATTTTGGATTTGGAATTTGGATTTGGATAATAATATTAATATGTGCTGCTGGGCACAATCTGTGCTTCAATACTCCCCTAATATGTGCTGCTGCAGTGCACTGCAGTGTATCCTCAATTCTTGAAGACAGCTCCTGTGAGTGTAATATGTGCTGCTGCAGTGCTGTTGTGCATTGCAGTGCAGCGGCTGCAGCCTTATTTTATAAAAATGATGTATATAAGAGAGTTGCAAACCCGTGCCCACCCCTAGTATCAGAGTCCCAATAAACTTTTAATTTTATGGCTATAAGAGAGTCCCAATGATAATATAATTGTAAAACAATTAACATAATAATAGTTAATATATTTTTTATTGGAAAGAAAACTTAATTAAAAACTCACGAAGCCAAGAAACTGCCGTGCAAAGTTCCCACCACCAGTCGCTTGCAGTTATATTTGGCTATCCCCTCAATCTTTCTCTTCACATCGTTCTTTTTTACTAGGACGCAAAGATTATTCACTGATCTCTCTCTATAAATTTGGTATGAATTGAGTGGTCTTGTAGTTGCATTTGGTTACCCTGCGAAATCTTTCTCTCTAACTTGGTTTTTTCTTCTAGGACCGAAAACATTCCTTTGTTAATCTTTCTACGAATTTGGTTTAAATTTTTAGGTGTCTATGGATTTTGATGGTTTGCCAGACGGTGACGAGATGCACTCAAGTGATGATGTGAATGAAGCAAAAAAGAGAAAGGGAAGAGGTCCAACAATGTTGGATTATAATGCTCTGTCAAAGGCCAAACAAATTGGTGTTCAATTCAATGACAAAGGACAACATTTTGGTGCTGGATCAGCGAGTTTGAGTTCGTCGGCAAGGATCCTTGCAAGACAACTAATACCAGTAACTTACGCAAGTTGGGATGAGGTTCCTACAATTTTGAAAGATAAATTATGGGCTGCTGTGAAGGTAAAATTTATAACCGAAGCTGTGCTCTTATTTCCTAACCAGTTTGTTCTTCTATAATACATATAAAAAATCAATTATCTTTTTGATGTTAATAAAGATTCATGGTTAATGCAGCAAAAATACGATTTGGCACCCTGTCGTAAGAAGATATTATTAACACAAATGTCTGGGTGTTGGCGTACATACAAAGCCACGTTGACAAAACAAATAAGATCCCTTGATGATGGTCCTGATGCAATGGAACAAATGCAACTCTTGAAGCCTGCTAATGTTGAGAAACAAGCTGATTGGGACAAATTTGTTAAACATCGATGCTCTCCTGAGTATGATGTAAGCTTGTTTGTATTAAATTTTAAATTAATGATTAGGTTTTCTATGCATGGATGTTGGTTAAATGAAGTTCCTTGTTATCTATTTTTCTTTGTTAGGCAATTAGTGAGAAGTTCAAAAAGTTGAAATCATTCCATACTCTCCCTCATGTGATGAGTCGTAAAGGATATGCACGCTTGGAGGACGAGCTAGTATGAACCTTTGTATATATTTTAATTTCATTTCAGTGACAACACACTTATACGAAGTTTAAATTATGGATTAATTAATAGAGAAACAAAGGTACACCTGAGGAGGATTTAAATAGAGTCAGTCTTTGGATAGCTGCTCGTACAAGAAAAAATGGTCAACCCGTAAATGAGATAGTCAAAGAAAATGGTACGAAGCTTCAGTTTGAAATTATCCTTGTGTTATTTTTTGTTCATTTTTCTTTTAATCTTGTCAATGATTTTTAAATGTATAGGATGACATTAAGTTGGCTAATGAAATGCCAACAACAGACAATGGTTCTATAAAAGATGATGCCTTATCACAAGCACTTGGACCTGAACATCGAGGTCGACTTCGTGGAGGTGGTTATGGGGTTACACCTTCTAGATATGATGCCCAAACATATGCCAGCATGAGTAATCGAGAGCTTAGAGACCGACTACAAAATGTCGAAGGAAAATTGCGGGAAGTGTTTGATCTTGTGTTGGCTAAACAACAAAATGAGGTAATTATATATGCAACTTTGTATATATTTATAAAATGATAAGAGATTTACGGCATGATCAATTTGTATATAGTTAGAGCTTACTTGAGGAAAGCCAATGGTTCCACCGTAAATACCCACCAACACTGGATGAATATTTGTCAGCAATACTTGATACATCCAACTTTACCCTAGCAACCACATCTTTTATCGGAAAGGGAGATATTTGTTACAAAAGACTCATTGGATTGGTTTTTTAGTGAGTACAAATAAAACAATAACGGTCTAAAAAATATATTCTAACTTCTAATCATATCGCTGCAGGGAAATGGTAAAGAAACTAATACCAATGATGCAATTCAAGTCTCCACAAATAGGCCTCAGGTAAAAATGTGTCATTAGTAAATATTGGTATTTTGTTGAATCTGAAATTGATCAACTTCTATTTCTTGCGTATTCACTAGTCGCAGGGAGGCTGTATAGATCTCCAAAGAACTAAGAATGGTGTAAAACAGGTTCCCAATTCCATTTACCAGGTTTCCAGATCATCTCCCCAGGTATGAAACTGATTTTGTTTAACTTGTCTCGATGTCTTCATCATTAGATAGAAAGAAATTAGTGAACATGTTCACTTTCAGGCTTAGTTAGTCTATGCAGCTAATAGTTTCTTTGCATCTATCTTGTTATCAGTTGTTTCTTTTGATTTTGATTATTTGCATTTATCTTTTTATTAGTTACAATTTAATAAGAAAAGTGCACCAGAGGCTAACGATGGTTCTAGACACACTTCAAAAGCTAGTTCTCAAGTACATATATGATCCCAAGTATAGCACAGTGGAAATATAATAAGACATAGCAGATGTTGATAATTAGATTGTTTTTGTTTTGTTATTAGATACAATGTGATAGAAGAAGTGCACAAGTAGCTGACGATGGTTCTAGACAAGCTTCCAAAGCTAGTTCCCAGGTATACGAGAACAAGTACTAAATAGTTAGCTTATGAAACTTATGAGATTTTGATATAAACTGATCGAATTTTGTGTCTTCCATGTTTGGTTGTCACAGAGAAGTAGTCCAAACATAGAAAGAGACAACATTAAGAGAAAAGAAGGTTCTAAAGCCACTTCTCAGGTAGTAAACACACGCTTGATAATAATTGTTAAATAGTTTGATAACTTAATCATTTAAAATTGATGTTCTTATTTGATTTCTTTATGCTAGTTACAACCTGTTGGTATTTTACGAGGGTCTTCATGCAAGTTACTAAATTGGCTCGGAAATGGACAAGTTGTTGCAACTGGAGAAATAGAATCAACAAATCTTGAGGCGAAAGTTCATCACATGGTGCTTGGTCCTGATTGCTGGAAAGTTTAGGTAACTGTTGTCAGAGTGGAGAATATATCTTTGTACCGCCCTACAAGTGAATTTCGTGTCCTGGAGGATGCTGTGTCTAGTACAATTGCCTGGCCATCAAAGTACGTCCGAGTTGGAGAGTAATTTTAGTTCGTACTTAGACTAGAAAATGGTACTTTGACACTACATAGATAGTACTTTATGACTTCCGTTTATGTATTCATTAGGCACTACATGGATAATACTTTATGACTTCCGTTTATGTATTCATTTGGAAACTCAAGTATTTTTAAATTATGTTATAATATTATCAAGTATTTTTTATGTGCTTATTATATTGTAGTAAATCTGCAATTTTGTTGGTTATTCTATACTAAAATATATAAATACAGATATATATATATATATATATATATTTGTTAAATGATTTTTTTTTTAATTTTGGAAAATAATTTATAACGGGCATTAGCTGTGGTTAATTAGTAATCGACAACGGTCATAGCACGTGGTGTTAGATCTCAATCTACCATGGGTACAATCCGTGGTCATATTGCAGTTGACAACGGGCATAGCCTGTGGTAGAAAATGAGACTTTTTATCACATCCAAAATACTAACGGGCATAGTGTCCGTGGTGGATTGCCATTTATCACGGGCATTAGTTGTGGTTAATGAGTAATCGACAACGGTCATAGCACGTGGTGTTAGATCTCAATCTACCACGGGTACAATCCGTGGTCATATTGCAGTTGACAACGGGCATAGCCCGTGATAGAAAATGAGACTTTTTATCACATCCAGAATACTAACGGGCACAGTGTCCGTGGTGGATTGCAATTTATCACGGGCATTCACCATGATAGATGAGCTTTTTTCTTCTAGTGCGTCTTGGTGTGGAGGTCACAACGGGCTGCTTAACGTGATCGAAATAAATACAACCAACAACGAATAAAACAATGTCAACTTGTACGTATTTATATACTAGAGGATACGATATATAATGTCTGAGACAAATAGAGCTGATTTAGTAAATTGATATATTATGAAAATGATCTGTTTGTTGATATCGAAGGAATGCTTTAAAAGCATACGTAGGTTTTGACACAAGTTTTTATAGGCTCACTTCGTAATATATTTAAATAATTTGAAACGTTTATCATTTAGGTATTTTCTCAAAAATCATGCTTGCCAAAAATCACTCAAATCTATAACCCTATGACGTTGAATTAAGGGGTTAGGATTTTGTAGAACCGTATTCGTTCAGTTTCTTTATTACAAATGAACGTCTTAATGATTTTAGATGTGTCTAATTTTTTTGCATGGATGTTCTATGAATGATGTTTTAAAAGATAAACGGTTTGAGAAGTTAAAATACATTATAGAGTAGACCTTACAAAAACTTATGTCAGAAATTGCGTAAAAAAAATAGTGTTGTGGATGCAAATTTCTTCCTCCTTGATCTTGGACAATTTTGCACCTACAAAACAATTAACACCTTAGGTTAAGGCCAAGAGCCTCACGCGCCCACTATGAATGGGGGGGTTTTGGCCGAAGAACCTCCGATGCCAAAGTTAGAATTTAGAGAGAAAGAGTGTTTAGAGAATTTTGGGATTTTTGCCAAAGTGTTGGAATGAATATTTGGTGAAAATAGGAGCCTATTTATAGGGCTAGGTTGGTTCACTTTAGAGGAAATGTGGCCGGCCACTAAGTAGGATTTTTAGGTTTTATTTTGGTTTAGTTAGCCAATTAATTGGCTAATTAAACATAAAAGGAAATGTTTTGGTAGTTATGGAATTCATTGGCTAATAAAATGGAAGAAATGGTGAAAAAAGGTAGAAAAAGTGATGGATTAGGTTTTGAATGGGGATAGCCGGCCTTTTAGTATTTTTAGGTGTGAATGGGTGTTTTAATTGATAATTAAGGGATTGATTAGGTAATTAATCCCTTAATTAATCAATTTTTAGGGAATATGAAAGGAAAATCTTATTTAGCTAATTAATTAGCTAAATAATGGAATACAAAATATATAGAATAAATTAGGTTTTAGGAATTACCTTATAGAAATGATTTGATGAAATAGGCTTTAAATTGTTACCTATTTTGAATACTTTTGACTTGGTTGAGGATGATTATCTGCCGCTTGCGCGTATGAATCTTAGTATGCCTCAAGGGTATTTTTGTCCTCTTTTACCCAAAAATCCACGTGTCGCCTTGTGATTATTTTTAGCTCTACAAGTGCCACGAATTGTCCCCATATATATTGGCTGAGACAGTAAGTCTGATTTAGTAAATTGATATATTATTGAAAGTGATCAATATAAGAATGTTCGTTGATATCGAAGGAATGCTTCAAAAAGAGACGCAGATGCTCAAAACGATGACTTTTTTGGGTTAAAGGAAAGAAAAGGGCGATATGATTAAGAGCTGAGGGGCCGAACAATGTTTTGCAATGATGGTTTCGTAGAAAAGAGTAGATATTCGATCACCTTAATCACTTTTATTAACTCTCAAATTATGATAGTAATCCAAGATGGGAAGTTAATTATTACCTAAACGGTCAAGTGAGCTCAAACAAAGCTCAAAAAGGGAGGTAGTGTTGTCCCTAGACCCAGTCTATAACTGGAAAGTTTTCAAAGGAGAATTTTCCGTGACATGAGATTTCTGCCCTTTTTTTCAACTAATGCAAAGAATTAATATTATTGATTTCTTTTAATTTGTTCAATTAAATAAGGGGAAAAAGTATGCATAAAGTTAAAATACAATGTGAAAAAATCATTTTATTTCCAGACGATTTGGTTAAGCTGAATTATTGCTAGATGTGACTTCAGGATGAGCACACCTATTGACATTGTCTAGTTTCTAATATGAGATTGCATTGGAAATCCACTCAATTCAATATCTATTGAATGAATAAATGATTGTTCTGAATTTTGTCCAAGTTGAAAGTGGAAACGCAATTTATTTGCTCCAGTCTAGATTAATTAGTAATAAATTAAACTTATCGAATTCAACACAAATAAATATGTTCTCGTCATTTATGCTAGTCAGGTCTGAAATCTCTTACTTATAAGTGAAAAAAAAATATCAATGAATTGCAGGACTAGTTAGTGTATGCTCCCATCATACTTAACTTGGAGTCAAAGATATATGAGTTGTCCTCTTAATTCTCGCATGAGGTTGAAGCAAGCAAATGTCCTCTAGGTCGGGGTCCATGGGGCATGTGAGAAGCACATGTGACTGCATGTGATTTTGTTCTCTTCACGTTCTCCATAAATAATATCTCATTCCATATTATTTGGATTAGGGAGATGATTATCTACCTCCAAACTAAATCAGCTTAGCACACAAATTAGTATAAATGGTCTTAAACCCATTCCATATAGTCATCATGATATATCCAAAAGTGCTACCATGCAAATGCACTTTAAATACAAAAACGAAAAAGCACTTCAAATACACACAAAAAAAAAAAAAAAAGCAAAAGAGGTTGTATAAAAACTTGATTTGAGAAAAAACTCTAAACTTTCAAAATTGAAATAATGTTAGCAAATTCTTTTGGGTGTTGGATGTAATAATTGAATTTATGAGAGAATGACAGAAACCAAACCTCTCTTGTTGGCCACGTATTCTTAGTTGAAAATAAAAAACCTTAAAAACTCTAAAGAATAGCAAGAGTCGAATTCTTATTTTAAGCTGGAAGTGAATACTATTAAATTAGAAATATCGGCTATTTGAAAGAGGTCGTAAGACCGGTTTTCCTCCAACAAAAGAGGGCTAATATTAGGACAAATGCTACTGAATTTTTGTGTGTTTTGTTTGGACGAAGAATTTTCAAGTACCGAGGAATCTAGACTATATTAGGTGGTATATTAGTAAAAAGAACTGTTCAATTTATTAGATGCAAGGATTTCAAATGTCTATAGATGCAATGCACGTAAATGGCTAGATGCATGCCCGCAAATGACTACTTAAAAATGTAAGCATCTAATCTAACATTGATTGATAATTAAAGGGATAGATTCAACACCATTTAAACTATTACACAAGACTTTAATTTCCTGACATGAAATTTACACTCTCAACAAAACGAATTAGTCCTTAATAGCATCAATGCCACCACCAAATTGTGCATAAGAGTTATAATTCTGGTCAACGTTATTGTTTGTCTCAGTTTTCTGTAGT